TTTTTTTTTTTTAGTCAGTTGGTCTTTCTGCCTCTGCTGTTAAAAATAGGTTAATAACACCCCTGGTGCACAACCACTGCAGCAGAACAGTTTTTCATGCCGCTCCGCAAACGAGACTGAAGCTAAAGCTTCCACAGAGAGGGTGGAAGACAGTGTTTATGCCAGGAGCAGTAGCTTATATTTAGATCCACATTGTCTGCAGCCAAAAACGACGTGTCCCTAAATGCACAGGTCAAGCCCACATTCATGCCCTTCGCCCACATCCCAATGCTATCTTCTGTCACACACACACACGCACACACACACACACACTCACACACACTAAATTACCGTGGAGACCTAATTCCATTAAATCTCACAGAAACCAATCTCCATTTAGGTGCTTGGTTTAATCAGAGAGAGTCAGGTTTAAAACAGAGAGGGCTGCAAACAGACAGACTCAGCAACGCTGGTGTCAATTGAACCTTTGCTAAGCCCCGCCCATGTTGCTACTCCATCAAGCTGTCACCATGGAGCCACACTGTCACTAACTGCACTCCACAAATAAATATGAGCTTCTTTTTTTTATATGTAAAAGTGATTTCAGAGAGAAGCAGACAGAAGGGTCTATAATATGCTTTTGAAGCATTTCAGGATGTTATACTGACTCAGCAGTGAAAACAGGTTCAAAAGATAAAGATAGAAACTAAAGTGTATAAGTGAACCACCACATCACCTGGAGATCCAGACAGATGACAATGAAATGAAGGAACAACACTGTTCCTGTAAAGCCGGGGAAGCCTTTCAGATTTCAGTTCAGTTATGTGCATGTTTCAGGTACATGTCTGTCGTTAAATATTTTGAGAATGAATGTTATTTACACTAATGTGCTTGAGTGTCTAACTTCTGAAACGCCTCCTCACCTGGCCTGCATGATGGCTGCGGAGTCGGACCCCGAGCAGATATCCTCCATGATGTAGGGGTTCTGCTCGCAGCTGATGTTGAGCGCGGTGTAGTTGGGTTTACACACAGTGAGGAAGTAGGGTGTCGGGTAGCCTGTCATCAGCTGGAGGATGTCGGTGATGAGGGCCGTGGCACACAGACCGAAAGCATGGACGCCTGAGGACAGAGGATGTGGCGTAAAGGTTGGGAAACCAGCTGTACGTACGGACAGAGGTTTAAACAACATGTTCTCACCACCAACCCATCAAATACAGATGCTTGGTTGGCTGTATTGACACTGATACAGACACTAAAGCTCTGTATCAGACACTGGGGTTGATAGGTTGGGATTGAGAAAATGTATATTGTTATTGGGTGTGCTGCACAGGGCCAACATATGCAGGCAATGTAATTATTGACTTTAATATCAGAGGTTTCAAACATCGTAGTCAGCCTTTTAAACAGTTGTTATAGTTGATAGACGCACATTATTCAAAATGTTTCTAATCATACTCTATGTAGAGAGGAGGCTGAGTTGGAGGGGGGGTCAACACAGGACTTTCACCCAGGAGACCTCTCCTTGTGTCCCGTGAGATACCATAAGAGTATACATACGTACAGTATGTGTTAATATACGTCCGTTTCTTAGATAACATACTTATTTTAAGCCCAAACCACAGTGTTTTACTAAACCTAATCAAGTAGTGTAGCTGCATTTTTTTCAGTTTACAAAGTTAATCGTGTGTTTAAAACTGCCAAAAGTAGTCCGGGGAAAAATGTCCCTTGAAAAGTAATGGAGAATTCCATTTAGTTGTATGGGAACCACATTTTCAAGTAGACATGGTTGCAGCCACCATCATTTCAGGCCAGAGTGTAGAACAAAACAATCAGTGTACCGACGAAGCGAACAGCTCTGCGTATGAAGGAGTTGAAGTTGCAGCCTGCGGCGTTGATGTTGGCCTCGGCGCCGCTCTTCCTCCGAGACAGGCAGCAGAACAAGATGGCCTCTCCGATCATTATCTGTTGACACAACAACACACCTGTCACATGTGATCTAGAAGAAGGAGCGAGGCCATGATCTCCACTGGAACTCCATGTTCCTTCACTTTCCAAAATCCTTATTTTGTCCCTCAACTTTTACACTTTAAGTTTCCATACCTGCTTTCTCTGTGCGGGGTCACAAGGGGCAGCTTATCCCAGCATGCACTGGGTGAGAGGCTGGCTACACCCTGGGCCTTTACTAGTCTGTTAGTTGTGTTTTTGATTATTTGTGTAACTTAATATTTTTTACCATCCTGCTTGTACACAGATGTAAACAGTAACATCCTGGTCTCAGAGCGGTGTAACTCGCTGGCCTGGGATTGGCTGTTTGACGCTGGCAGCGCCCAAGCTCCAGTTTAAGCCAAGAGCGCCGGCCAAGACGGCTCCGTCCTTGTGTGACACACTCGTGCACACGAATACACACTCCTCCAGAAGTGACACATGCCGTTGCAGTGGGATACCTGGCCATCTGCAGAGCAACTACCCAGAACCACAGATCTCTGCAGAACGAGGATGATGGAAAATGTCTGTGTAAATGTGTGTTTCGAAGGGCGTTTTAGACCTAATATAAAAGTCAGTAATTACATTGCCTGTACATTCGGCTTGCTTTCCCAATCTTGACATCACATCCTCTGCTCTCAGGCGTTCATGCTTTGGGTCCGTGTGCCACGGCCCTCGTCACATGACATGTTTGGAGAGAAGAGAAGGAGGACAGCAGCAGTGACGGCCAGAGAGAGGGATTAGGAGTGCTTAGAGGAGGGCCTTCAGTGATCTGCATAATACTGCAACTGACACACTGTACTTATGAGTCTCACTAAAAAAAGGGTTTATCTGGGGCATGTAAACCGTATTGTACTCTTGCAAAAGGAGAAAGCTACTCTCTCTCCATTGTTGTTTGATTTACAGACCAGGAATTGCTATAGAGAGTCCTTCACATTTGGTTCTTTTTGGAGAGTTTTGACTGTGTAGTACTATTAGTGTAAAAACATGAAGGCCACTGAGACACTCAAACTCTCAACTGAAAGCCAAAGAGTCGCTCTAACACCAGAACATCCGAACAAGACTGGAAGCTGCTCTCACTCTCAGACGGTGTGACGGGTCTTTACTAAGCAGCCGTGACAGAGACACCGGTGTTGTCTTCACCGTGTGAGTCGTCGTGGCAAAACGTGGTCCAGGAGACACCTGCTGTATCAGAAACTACCACAGAGGAGGTTTAAAGTATTTTACCATTTCTTTATACTTCTGAGGAGAGAAAAAAACTAACTTTTCAGGTGTGTAGTTGAGATTAAAACACAATTTTAAGACGGGTATGGTCAGATCAAGGTCGCTGGATATAGAGGGGCAGGAAGTGGGAGATGGCAGTGATATTACATGAATCCTTTGAAGTTTTAAACCAACTGGAGCAAACTGTTGAACTGAAGGTAACTCGGCTGAGGCTCATGTTGACCATCAGTCTGCTGTAACAGTTACTGAGTGACCCATTCATTCAGTTCATTAGCAGCTAAGTTGTGGTTCATTTTGACTAATGAAGGCTTGCAATGTAAGAACAAGCAACCAACTGAAATAAACAAATGACGTGTGTAATAATTGGACACTGTCTGTACTTTGGCTACAATCAGTGCCAAATGACCTGCAGCTGTTATTTCCACAAAATGTCTTCAAATTATTGAGAAACTATTTTGAATTTACAGCCTTCAAAAATAAAGGGTTGTAGAATCAAGTTTGTCTTTGCTAATCGTCTTTATTATTATTATTGTCATTACTTTATGTAGTAATTGAACTTGTTTATCATATTTACTTACAATGTATTATTTATTTACCCATGTATTTATTCATTTCTCTCTCCTCTTTGCACATACCTCACCCATTCCTCTCGTCAGTTATTCATATATGAATATAACACACATACACGTGCAATACTCCAGCTAAAAAAAACAACTAAACGTCCTGTCGGCTTTGTACCATTTCATGCTGACAAAATAAAAATAAAAGGAACTATTTTTATTTCAGCAGCCGCTCCGACAGCGACAGCCAACCACATCTTCCAGCTCCGGCAGTTTGCTCTTATGATTCCAGGAGGAAGACAAACCGAGTTACAATAACTTGATCTAAATAAGCCTGGACTCTCACATAGAGTGACAGTCAAAGGGCTTGAGAGAGGCCTTCTGACGGGGGGGACAGGCAAGCCTCAGGTCTTCTTCTGCTCCACGAGTTGCTGGGAGACGGGTGTCTGAGGGAGAATGTGGCATCAGCTGATATGAGGAGTCTGATCGTGTTGATGTGTGACGGGAGCTGTGTGACGTGTGCGTGGCTTAGATCGATAATAGAGTCGGGTTTTCTCTGTCTTGGATTCTGAGAGAGAGCTTTTGGGGAGACATTAAGTGTGTTGGCTCTTTGCGTTTCCACTGCAAAAATCTTGCTCTGGAATCAGCTATTCACTGGTAATGGGTTTGGCATCCCTGTGAGTTACGCAGAGAGCCGGAGCTTTTTATTGCTTCTTTCTTTCTTTTTGTGTTTGAGGCATTTAGGAGCCAGTAAAGGCGGGAACATGTTGGAGAGAGGATGTGATCTGTGGTGGAAGAGAGCACAGGGTCGATGGGATGGTTATGGCTGGAAGTTGAGTGCTATCTGACACTCTAACAAAGAGAGTATGGTCATCCCACTGGCTTCCACTAGTCCGTCACCACACAATTGTGATATCCTAAATTCCATTCTGGACCTTTGGTGCATTTTGAAGGGTGTAATTTCCACTGAAGATGCCCATCTCTTCTTTTCAATACCCATTTGTGTCCTGCTACTTTTACAGCTTCTGTATGTTTTATCACGAAAACCAGTGACCAGTTTACTGCTGCAGGAATCAAGAAACTCTGAGTTTATGAAAAAAGTTGTCTCATATCTATGTTAGCAGAAGAAAGAAATACTTATTTAAAAGGTATGATATGCAACAATTTCCTAAAAAGGACTGGACTGAAAAGGTATCTCACTTTGTTCCACTAGAACTGTGTGGCGGTGTCTGTATCTGCAGAGACCCGGCCCTCTACCTGTACTTTCTGTTGTCTTCTTATTTTGCTGTGTTCCGGATGTTTCTGGGCCTCAGCAAAGAGCATTTGGACCCCCAGCCAATGAGCAGGGCGTGCAGCCCCTTCTCGACCGAGCGGAGACACAGACGGGCACAGAGAGAGCAGACCTCGTGCCTCGGGCAAATCCGGAACCTTCCCACAGGTTTGTGAGGAGGTGTGGGTGTGTTTATTAGTGCTTTAGAACTTAACCGCTGGGAAACGATCCGATAATAACGTTTTATTCTTCTGATTTCTCTCTCTCTCTCTCTCTCTCTCTCTCTCTCTCTCTCTCTCTCTCTCCATAATAGCCCATTTCACACAGTTTTATTCCTACTAATTCTTACCACTGATGCTTTGTCCGAACGGCATTACTGCAGTGGTTCAATACACTTACATGAAATATAATGTGCATTTTAATCTTCCAAACCTCCAATATTTTAAGATAAAATGTCTAAGAGAGCTTAAAACCTTGTTTTTATTTCAGTAGAAGTAGAAACGTAGCTGAAAATGGAAACACGCAAGTGCTTAAAAAAATAAAACTCAAGTACAGTACTTGAGTAAATGTACTTAATTACTGGTTACAAGCATGACTTATATTATTGCATTAATATCACCGTTTTTTGTTTTAAAGAACACAACTCTGTGTGTCAGTAATGGAGCGTCTGTGCTGTGAGAACTAGTCATCAGGGAGACAAACTATTTAAAGCTCAGCCTGTCCTTTGTCAGCACAAAATGAAGTTGAGCTAGGGATTTTCCTACAAAGCAAAATGACTTACTGTGAAAAGCCCTGCAATTTGAATAAGGGAAATCATTGCTATATGCTTCAGAGGAGCGGCTGGAGTCCAGATGGAACATGACTAAAGTCTGATCTAACAGTCTGATCTGATGCTCACTGTAGTAGATTCACAGTGTAAGGTATAACCGTTTCTTTCCTTCCGGCATGTTCTTATGCTGCATTCACACCAAACGCGGCGCGAATTATTTGCGCGAGTAGATTACATACAAAGTCTATGCACAGACGCGATGAGACTGGAGCGACGCGAATTTGCGATGGCGCGGCGCGATTCACGCGAATTCGCGTCAAACACGTGAGTTGAAATTTTTCAACTTCGGCGAAATATTCGCGTTACGCCCCGGCGCGATAGCCTATCAGCGTTGAGTTGCTCCCCCTGTCATCACTGACTTCCTGCCGTTGCTGAATCAGGAAATAAATCCTGTAGCCGTCTGTGTTCACCCAGAGCTCTACGATACCTCATATCAATAGAGACCGGACCAAACTATGTGTATGAATGTGTGTGTGTAAACCATATGGTACAAACAATGAATAGACGCTGCCGTATTTACGTCTAGATGACGTTATTGTGAGTGTTGATGGAGCTGCTACAATGTTAGCTTAGCCTAGCACCGATCAATCCGAGCTCCATTAAGAAAACAAGTGTTTTAAAAGTTATTTGCTTGTCGTCTTGCGGCAAGAACCAACAAAACATGAATTCAGACTTTTTACAAATTGGCATCATTACGTAGTTATTTCCGAGTCCTTTTTGTCCCTTTATTGCCGTTAAATTACAATAAAATCAGTTTATTTTGTGTTCATACAGCTGTAGTAAACAGCGACGTGTGGCTTGCTAGACACAGTGAATACACCGATAAAATCCACAGAGCTCCTCTGGACAACGTTATGAACCAGACATGACGGAGTTTAGTTTCTGTGACTTCCACAACACGTACTAAGCAGAAATAGAGGTTATTTTTTCATGGTTAATGGCGGACAGTTGAACGGCTTTCAGGGCGATAAGCCACGCCTCCTCTTCGGCACGTCCAGCGCGATTCACGCGAATGAACACAAATAGTCCCCGGCGAGACAGGCGGCGCGAATGACGCGAATACGCCCCGCGAATCATTCACGCTGCGTTTGGTGTGAACACGGCATTAGTCTTATGTTCTCTGTCAAATATTTTGCCATGGCCTATGTCCTTGCATTCTCTCTAGTGTCCATCAGGGGGCGACTCTTCTGGTAATAATGGGTTTCAGCGGCACTGTTTTGTGTGAAAGGCGTGTTTGTTTTCAGAAACCTCCAAGGAAGTGATGACATGCCTTGCTGGCCATAATAACTATGCTGTCTGGCCAGGAGGACAGGATCATAGGCTGATAATAGATCAACAGTCAGCGAGCTTTGCTGGTCTGGAGGGACCCGTCCTGCTGGCCCACAGCTCCACTCAGGCCCTCTATACAGTATGTGTTGGTGGGCCCTGAGGGGAATATCAGAGGGAACTCTATGCCAAAGGACTTTTTTTATATGTGTATTTGTGTGTAAGCATCTGTGTATTTGATGCCATAACCTGACCCGCTGGGAAACACTGAACTCCAGATGGGTCTCCATGTACGCAGAGAAAACTGAGGCATCAGGTATAAGAGAATACAATACAGTACATTACAGTCATTTAGCAGATGCTTTTATCCAAAGCAACTTACAATTCAGACTCTATCACACCGTAGGCACAGCTACGGGAGCAATTTTGGGGTTAAGTGTCTTGCTCAAGGACACATCGACACGCGACTAGCGGAGCCGGGGATCCGACCGCCGACCCTCTGGTTGAAGGACGGCCCTGCTCTCCACTTAGCCACAGTCGCCCGATACAAATAGAAACCTCATTCACATTTCTCCATTAGAGGCGCAACAATGCAGCTTTTTCTGAAACTCACACTCAGGTAGTTAGGATACCAATACAGAGTGCTTTTACCCCCTAATTCAAAGGAGACATAGTGGGCTCATTTTTAAGTTCATGCTTTTATTCCAGATGTCTACTTGAACAAGTTTACAAGCATAAATGTTAAAAAAAAACATTATCTTTTATCACAATATCCAATGGTGCAGCACGGCACCTGTATTCAGCCTCTGTCTGAAACTATCTGAATTAGCGCCTGTTTCTTTAAGGCCTAAACGCCCAAATTGCCCCAACGTTTGGCTCTGTTAAATACTGCTTTTTATGCAATAAGTATTTTAATTCATCTGTTGAAACAGTGTTACTATATAAAGTCATTGTGAAAGAACATGATATATTTCTCTAACACCAGAGGACACTTAATACTAAATGGAAAAAAGACCAAAACCCTCCTTAAAAATAAAGCAACTTTAGCTTAAATTGGAAATAATTTCAAAGCAATATCTGCAACAGATTAAGACGATGCTGACTTTAACTAAACACATGATCAGCTGTAAAAGATGAAATAGTCACGAGGGCTGCTCTCAAAGTTCAAATAATTTCAACTTTGACCTCATTTACTGCTGACCAATCGAAGCTCGACCAATGAGATAACAGCGCAACAGTTGTTGTTGCCTATAAACGGTGAAAAGCTTTTTAGTTTCCGTTCATGTGAAGGCAGCTTTACCGTGATGGCAGGTCCGGCGAAGGCCAGGCTGAGCAGCATCAGGAGGGGGATGACCTCGCGGTTGGGGTCGATGTAGGGAAGGCTCAGGCTGCGGTCGTGGCAGTTGAAGCCGGACTTTGTCGGCTTGAACACATCCGTCCACTCCAGGAAGTACAGGCTGACCACGGACGACACCAGGATCGGCAGCTGTGGGGCGGACATGACGGGAAAGAAAAGATGTAAGGGAGATCGAACAGTTGAGGCCGGAGGAGCTGTAGCAGACTGCCAATGGATAAATGAATGAATAGAAGAACAGGCAGTGAACGCTGCAAATGCCCCCATAACCCTATGGTTCACTGCCCACGCTAATTTGATTTGATAACGACGACGAAGGCATGGAAAATGGTTTTCATGACCTGAGTGGGGGGGGGAGGGGGGTTGATGGCAGATGGTGTGTGGAATGTATAGCTCTCATGAACATCAAGTGCTCAACTCAAATCTTCAGTATGAATCCTCCTGATCCCAACAAACAGAACAAACAGAATGCCAAACAGCTAGTTTGCATATATTATAAGTTTGAGGTCGTAAAAGACCAATCATAGCGCAGCAGTTCATTCACCAGCCATGAAATAAAATTACACTAATAAAGCTGGTGCTGATCTCTCAGTTGGACAAAAGTGCTTCAGTGTTGTATGGAAGATAGCAAGAGGTCAGCTCTCAGACACGCTGAAAGGACATTTCACCACTGACCTGTCAACAGCAACAACACACCAGTATATAAGACACACCAAGATAGTTACATTAGGATGATGTCAAGCACATACAAATCACAAGGTTCTGAAAAACATTTCAGGAATATTAAACTTTTAAAATGTTAGAATGCTTATCTTTGGGGAAATGCTTTCTGGGCAGCAGTTTGTTTTGTAGTACCACAAATAGCCACTGGGACAAACCGGCAGCATGGGGGACTTGGCCACACTGTATTTTCCCTATCATAATGTATGCATGGCCCTGAACATTGTTACAGATAGAGCTTTTTGTTTTGTATAAGACAGGCAGCATTTTGCAAAAAGAAAGTTCAAGTTGTTTTAGTTGCAATGGCATCCATCCTTGACGGTCCCTCAAATCTGATATGTTGACACAAATTTGTTGTTTTATAACCTGTCGTAAAAGAACCTACATCATATAGTGAGGAGAGAGATGGACTGAAATGGCACAACTGAGGCATACAAGTCAAAAAAGGCTGCTAATAACTCTGCATATCTCTTGGGGCTATACACGACATTCAGAACAGCAAACAACTATTTTCTAAAGTTGCTTTCCCTCTCTGTGTTCAGCCTTTTCTCATTCCCTGAGCGTCAAATACTGACGCTTTGTCACGCCACTCGCCCCGTGTCTGTTACCACACAAGGCACCCTTTAGTATCTGTATGAGACGCACCAGGCTTTCTACTAACTACCACGTAAGACCATCTTTATTATACACTCAGAGAAAATGCTCCAGAAGTGTGATAACGTAGAAAACCCACACATGGTGGGGGGGGTCAAACCAAAACAGGACTTTTAGTTTTCAATGCTTATTACTTGTTGTTTACGTATTATAAGGTTACCCAGTGCATTAGAAAGTGACGCCAAGGGGTCTGACAAAGCATCAGTATATGAAGAGATGGAATGAGAACATGTTGGTGTGTTGTAATCTGAGCTTCTCTGTTCTCTGTTTAAGTCGTCGGTCCGTCCTCACATATCCTTTGAGTGCATGCGAGTTCTTCCCTTTAAAACTTCCTTTATGTTCATGTCCCACTGGCTAGCTGTGCTGCTACTCTGCACTATGCACTACCCTGGTCAGGCATGCGCAGGAGAGCGGTGCCGCTCATTCGTCAGTTACCGAATGCAAACACTGCCAGCGATGCTGTCAGAGCGAACAGTGTTTACCTGAGGGGGGACCGAGGGTGGGTGCTACGCTTCAGCGATGATGCCATTGGTTGGGACGGCTGTAATCGCTGTATGAGAGCATTGCAAACCAGCGGCCATTAGCTAGCTAGCCAGTGGGGCACGCTGACATGCACTAACATGTACTAAAAGCATGCACCGCCGGCCTGGCTAGGCTGTTTCATTCACTGTTTAGATAGACTTACTTCACTTTATCTTTATATAGATAGTAGCTGTTTGCTGCTATATTGATGTTCTTCATTTTGTATAGAAAACCTTTAACAAGACAATAAATAACTCCAATATCAACAACTCACATTTCACCCACTAACACTGCAGTTCTATTGTGTCAAAATTCTTTCCCAAATACTTCCCGATTACCCCACCAGGCACACAGAAGCGAGGTGCATACGTAGGCAGGAAGCTGATGTGTAATGGGAGGCAGTAGTGTCCACAGAGGACTGCAGTGAGGTGCGTCAGTGAGAGCTGAATGTGGCCTAGAGCATCATGTGCTTTATCATGCAGCTTAATACCCTGATCCGCTGGTACACAGTGGCAGGCGCGTAGCTCGCTCTGCTAATGCTAAATAGAACAACGGGATGGAGGAGGGCCCCGCTAGGAGCCTAACACAGGGGGATCCCTTCAAGGAAACACACTCCTGCTGGGATCTGAGCCACTTGTACACACATACACACTACCACACAGAGGGCCTCTGTTTGCAGGCTTCCTTCCCTTTGTCTGTCTCACAGTTCTGCCAGGGGTTACTCACTAACACACTAGTTCTGCTGTCTTTCCCTCCGCGCTTCCTTTCCATCCCTACTCCTTTCCTTACCATGACTAAGGTTCCGTCAGGTTCCATCAGTGGTGAACCTCAGCGTAAATTGGGACATTTGGAGAGATTTGAAAAGGCAGTTGAAAGCCAGGAATTATGGAAAAAATGAAGTAAAGGAGATGAAAACATTCTACATGACTTTTTAGGCTACATTCACACCGAAGAATATTAAGAGAGCTCTTCACCTACAGCGGCATAAAACGTCCTAAAATAGCACATGAAAGGGTGTGGTTAAACCATGAAGGAGTACAAGAGCTTCATGTTCAAGACCAGCTCATGCAGCCCACCACCGAGCTTCACACTGTCTTCCTGCCTCGTCCCCCTCCCCCTCTCTCAGGTCCGCTTCCCTTGGCTCACCGTCAGCCTCCCTCACCTCTCGTCCAGCTATATGAGAAATATAGGTCAGTGCTGTCAGCATTCGCACAGCTCACTCTGCAGATGAAGCTGTTCTCGGAGGAATGCTGCACTCTCCATACTTCAAAGTAGATTTCTGCAGGATAATTTATGTCACATCCTGTTATTCTTAAAGTGCAGCGTGATTTGCCGAGGCCAATAGCGGCAAATCGTATTTGATACGCTTCAAAGTCTCTACACACACTGCGTGTGATGCCTTTCCTTTGGATGTGACTTAAGTAAGAACTGACCAGTGTACAGAGAGCAAGCCATCTCACAGTAACCAGCATTAAACCATCAGTACTACAGAAAATAAGATATCAGGTATAAGATGGATATTCGTGCTCCCTAAAGCCACATTCATCCTGATTTGGACCTCTTGAACTCTTAGCTCAGGGGCTCACTAAAGGTATCCGTTTGTCAAAGAATGATTCCTGTTGTTCCAAATAAATCTGGATCGGATCGCATGTCCGTGTGCAATACATATTTTGGGGGGTTTTATGGCTTAATCTTGAGAGTTAATCTTGACAGATGATGATATTTCATCCCATTGATGCAACAATCCTGTTTTTACAACCAAAGATAATAAATATATGCAAGTGGTACAACCTTAGAACCCATCGGCTATCGGTCTAATGACAGATGAGCGTCTAGGGGAGAAGGGCTGTATTTCTGGGGCTCCGGTATAGCGGATATCTGGGCCAAGGACTTCCTTTTCTGTGCGCTGCTCGCTGTTTACGGTCCGACTTCAGATGTGAGACTGGAGTTGAGCGATGACGTCTGCGACAGGGTTGTTTCACAAGTAGCCAGTTTAAAAGCGAATTTTAAACCCTTAAAAAGCTAAATCATCGTCAGACGATAGCTGGTGGGTTCCCAGGTTACATTTCTGCCAATGCGCTCCGCCTCTTATGCTCTCCACACGAACTGGTTACCTGAATTCAACCAAAGTCTGCTGCAACGTGATTGGTCAATACTACTCAGACTACAAACAGAAACCGAAAAGCTTGCATTACCAAAATCGTGTCCTGTTGCCCACAGATAAATGCAGAATCTGTTCATGGAGATTATAAGTGGTCATCTAATAATTCTTGAAAAATCCTGTCCACTCTTTTTACCTCGGGATATACTTTATTGTGTTGTGTAGCTTTGTAGCCAACAATGCACAAACTGATACCCGAATCATTGATCTGAGTCTTTTGGCTTCTTTGTAGAATTTTTCTGGCAGACTTCCAGACTTAATGCAAAATTCATATGTGGAGCTCTTTTTTAATTAAGTGTGGATATGTGCCTCCACAGCTAATACTACTAGGTGTACATAACATATATCCAATCCTATCTCTACACCACTCAGCTGCTGCTACGCGGGCACACAGCTTGGAGAGTTTCATTTTGTTTTTGGAAAGATTGTATGAAATGGCTTATACAGCCACTTTAAGCTGATCGCCTGCATACATCGCCGCTGGTTTTTGTGTTTGAATGAAGTGTATTTTACGAAGCCTTACAGCCCATTGGTGTGTAGACGGGGGTTGCATACATTCAATGACATGATACAGGTGTGGTCGGTGCTGACACACCTGGCTAGGATTTACACTGTAATGAGTTTATTTTTTGTCATTGGTTATTTCAAAGTCCAGTTGGAATATAAATTTAATTTTCTGCTTTGTGCGCTTACTTCTTTGGGTGTTCACATTTGGATAAGTGTTCGGCCTTCATACAACACTCCTCTAACAGTTTTCCTGACAGCAATCCCTCCACTGGCTCTCGTGTTCCTGGCGGGCCCTCAGTGACTACGGAAGAGACAGCGGGGTTTGAATAATAGATGTGTAAAAAGGGAAAGCAGGCGCCAGTGGGCTTTGGCTGGCAGTTATTTGTGCTGGGCCAACAGCACCGACAGCGATGGAGTGTTCTCAGTCATTTGAGGCGTCTGACTGGTTTCGCTTCAAGTCTCTCAGTTTCTTTGAAAATGTTTGATTCAGTGTGCCATGCTGCGTTAGCATTTGTCTGTGAATTGTCTGGGTTTCCGCACACATCATTGCAGTTCGTGTGAGAGACGG